GTATGAACAATTTGGATAACGTGGGAAGTATGAACAATTTGGATAACGTGGGAAGTATGAACAATTTGGATAACGTGGGAAGTATGAACAATTTGGATAACGTGGGAAGTATGAACAATTTGGATAACGTGGGAAGTATGAACAATTTGGATAACGTGGGAAGTATGAACAATTTGGATAACGTGGGAAGTATGAACAATTAGCCTACAGGTGACTTTTCTTCCTAGCCTTTAGATCAGTAAATCTTTTTTTTTTGTACTTTCTACTTTCCTCAATGCAATATTTTTTCCTATTCTAGAAAATTGCGATGGCGCCCTAAGCACATGGCGCCCCGGACACCTGCCCGAGTTACCGGTACGTTGAACCGGCCCTATACGCCACTGCCGGATAAACGATCCCGCTGGCAGCCGTCCATATGGTTTGCCATGTAAAAGTTCTGGGGTGGGGTAGGGTGGGGGAATATACATTTGTTTTTGTTGTTTTTGGTTACACGCTGTTCTTTATTTCATAAATGTATTTTATTTTAATGTCATGATAATGTCTCTTTTGATAACATTTTTATGTACAGCGCGGTGAGCCTAGCCCTGGGCTGGGGTACCGCGCTATATAAGACCACTAATTATTATTATTATTGCTATTTTGTGCATATTACCTCACTATATAGGCATATATATATATATATATATATCTATCTATCTATCTATCTATCTATCTATCTATCTATCTATCTATCTATCTATCTATCTAAATGTATATATATATATAAAATATATATATCTTTCCTTCTCCTGTCACGTCTTAGTTGCATGAAGGATGTTAAAATAGCAATTAGAAATCGTTGGAGTTCAATGGCGACTATGACCCATAGGTTAACACTATATACCATAATGAGTGAATTATGGTATATACTTATTATATATAAGTTATTATGTAATAATTCACGTATTATGGTGTGCTTCGGCGATGAGCTAATTTTATTACCGCCTTGTAATGTATGCAGAGCTGTCGCGTGACCTTTGGAGGCCCATGCCACGTTTCGATGCTATGCCCCCTGAATTCAAAGTTGACAGTTTAAATCTTGGCCACATCACAGGCCCGTTCTTAGGCATACGCTGACTACGCATCCGCGTAGGGCGCCGAACGTGAAGGGGCCCCCGTGAGGCACCCTTGATCCCCCGGGTTTTTTTAAAAACTGGCACTGCAGCCGTCTGTGTCACTCACGTTACCTTCCTCATCCTGAAAATTATCATTCTGAGTTGAATTCTCAGGCAGGAAGTAACAGGGGGGGGGGAGCTTTGGGGGTGGCAGACAGGAAATTGGCAGAATGGAGGTGCCACAGTGGCGGACCCCCCCCCTTCCGGGGCCCCAAACCTACGCTCCATGCTTAGGGCCCCCAAACTCCTAAGAACGGCTCTGCACATCACAATGTATGGCCGATGCCCCCTGCAGCTGCAAGGGTTTCTGGGCCCACGTGACGACAAAAGCTTGTACTTGTATGGGCCACCTTTGATGGCATTCCATATGTTCCAAGATCGCGTGACATTAGAGAGGTAGATAGAGTTTGTGCGACCCAGGACGATCATTAAGTTTTTCCCTCGGCCCCCCCCCCCCCCCCCAAAAAACCAATTAAAAAAAAAATCCACCACGAAACCCCTAACACTACAGATTGAATATGCTTCAACCACTCCCCCCTCCCCCAAAGAAAGTGGGGGCGGGGGTGTAACGAAGATTTAAATGAAGGTAATATGTTATATTTATTACAGCGAAGAATTCATAAGGCCCCTATCCTTTGACACATAAATGAAAAGAATGGTCAAGGGGCACCGTACCGAACTTATTACACTGAAACGTAAATTGGCACATCCTTAGACAATGCACATAAAGCAACGGGCTCCCATATGTGTGTGCCAAGTGCTCACAAAAGCCTTAGCTTGATAAGAAATGAATGAAAGTGAAAGCGTATGATAATTTTCAAAATTCATTGTTGTTTAACGAGCTCATTGCTTATACATCACATTCCAATGAATGGCTCAAATTTAACATTTATATGTCCTTACAAGCTTTCACAGACCTAGAGATTTTTTATTTCTTTTCTTCCATGGTCTTATCTAAAGACGAGTGTGAAAATTTCATCTCTCTAAAGTCTGCAACTTTTTAAACTCGGCCGTTAGTGTAAAACTTTCTAAATCTTGAATTGTTGTAAATGACAACTCTCCATTTGTTGTACACCCTCCCATTATTTGAGCAGCATTCTCCCCAACTGTACTGTCCAAGACACTACATTTTTCAACTGTCCAAGACACTACATTTTTCAACTGTCCAAGACACTACATTTTTCAACTGTCCAAGACACTACATTTTTCAACTGTCCAAGACACTACATTTTTCAACTGTCCAAGACACTACATTTTTCAACTGTCCAAGACACTACATTTTTCAACTGTCCAAGACACTACATTTTTCATTTATGGGAAATAACATTTGCGTGGTGTTTTCCATCCTTTCAATTTGATGCAGCAGGCCCAAAATTTCAGCAACCACACTTTCATACACACTTCCAGCCATGAGGGCCAATATCACAATGTGTGCTAAGATCACCAGCCATTGTGCCAAGATCACCTGTCAGGTGTGCCAAGATCACATGACATGTGCAAAGTTCACCTGCCATTGTGCCAAGATCACAACCATGTGTGCTCAGATCACCTGCCATGCGTGACAAGATCACCTGCCATGTTTGTCAAGATCACCTGTCAGTGTGTCGATATCACATGATGTGTGCAAATTTCAAATGCAATGCAGGAAAACTGAGCAGAAGTCAAAATCCTTTTCAATCAAGCCGATTGTTTCAGTTATGACGAGCTAAAGAGATATCAAGCTATTACATTTTTAAAATTGATAAAGCTGAATAACTTTTTATTTAAAGAACTGATATTTCTTTACCATCATCAGACACTACACCCCATAAAGGGGCTGAAATATTCTATTCTTGAGTTTTGTAACAATTGAAGACTTGATAGTGAGGAATATGGCCATATATTAATTTGTTTATTTTACAGAAATTCAACGTAAAAAAGATAATGAATGTGTGGTTACTTATGCATGCATGCAACTGGCAGAAATACACGTTGGGCGGAGAGATTTTAACAGAGTGCTGTATGCGAAAAATGTTTTAGATACACTGCCCCAGGTGATTAAAAGGCTTACAATAAAATAATTTTAAACACTATTATTATTGTTAAAAAAAATGTTAAAAATAAAAATAAAAAGAACAACAAAAACAATTCAAACGATCCAATTTAATATCTTCTTTGTAAAAAGAGTAACTAACATTATTGAGATTTGACAAAGTCATTTACCGATGAAATTATCAGTGTTTTTGTTAATCATTTTTATAAAGCATAAATAATTTGAGCATTGGAAAAAAATGTAGGTACAAAAGAAGTTTGGAACTATTGAAAAAAATGCATTAAACGATTAACAATCCTCAAAGGACATTATAATAAATGTTGAGATTTCTTTTTTAATCATATTCTATTTCCCAATCAATATACTGTAATGAGGACAGAGGCAAGAGGCATAAGTAGTGACCATGGTTAATTCAAGAGATTCATTTGCATTTAC